TGCTGCTGCTGCTGCTGCTGTTGCTGCTGCTGTTGCTGCTGCTGCTGTTGCTGTTGCTGCTGTTTGCATGCGCTGGCTCTTCGGGCTTGTCTTGCTGCTGCTGCTGCTGCTGCTGCTGCTGCTGCAGCAATTAATAAATATAATTAATTAATTTATTTATTTATTTATTAACATCTTTTTTATATAAATAAATAAAGTAACAAGAGGAGACACATAAATGGACACCACCCCCCAACTTGCTGCTGCTGCTGCTGCAGCAGCAGCAGCAGCAGCAGCAGCAGCAGCAGCAGCAGCAAAACGGGCAGAAGGAAATGTATAAAAAAGGGATAAAGAGTAACAATCTGTCTCTATATAAAAGAGACAAAAAAGAGACAAAAAAAAGAGACAAAAAAAAGAGACAATAAAAAGGAGACAAAAAAAAAGGAGACAGTAAAAGGAGACCCGTGCAGCAGCAGCAGCAGCAGCAGCAGCAGCAGCAGCAGCAGCAGCAGCAACAGCAGCAACAGCAACAACGATTGCTGTTGTCTCCTTTATTATACAAAAAAAATAATTAAGGTGTATAGGCAGCTGCATGCATATTCATTAGGTGTCTCCTTTTATGCCTATCTCCTCCCTAATTGTCTCCTTTTTTTTCTCTCCTTTTTTTTTTCTCTTTTTTTTTCTCTCCTTTTTTTTCTCCCCTTTTTTATTGTCTCCTCCTTATTGTCTCCTCCTTATTGTCTCCTTCTTATTGTCTCCTTTTTATGCCTGTCTCCCTGTCTCCTTTTTATGCCTGTCTCCTTTTTTCTCTGTGTCTTTTTTATTGTCTCCTTTTTATGCCTGTCTCCTTTTATTGGACAAAAGGAGACAGGAAGGAAGGAGACAGGAAGGAAGGAGACAGGAAGGAAGGAGACAGCAAGGAAGGAGACAGCAAGGAAGGAGACAATAAATAGATCTTCTTATTTTTATTTGTTTAGTGTCTCCTTTTTATTATTCAATATAAAAAAAAATGTTTATTTGTCTCCTTTTTTGTCTCCTTTTTGTCTCCTTTTTTGTCTCCTTTTTTCTCCTTTTTGTCTCCTTTTTTCTTCTTTTTTCCTTTTATTATGTTTGTTGTGTATACGTAATTCTTATATATACATATAATATAAATAATGTACAAATATAATGCGTATGCGTATATATATGTATATATGTATATATACGTATATATACGTATATATACGTATATATACGTATATATACGTATATATAAGTATATATATATTATACATATATATATGTACGTGTTGCTGTATCGTCCTACAACGCATAAATAAATAAATAAATAAATAAATAAATAAATAAATAAATAAATAAATAAATATATAAAATATCTATTTGTTTATTTAAATAAATAAATAAATGAATAAATTATAAATAAAAAAGAAAATATAAATAATAAATAATAATTATTAATATAATTAAATATATATATTATTACCTACTTATATATACACAATAATATAAATATAAATATTAATATAAATATAAATA